ACTAGTCGATTCGAGGTTTTCGTCTAGCAATTAACAGCTTTTTCACCTAGCCATGCTGTGTTTCTTTTGGAAATGGTCATCAGAACTGTTGGCCGCCGAATGTGTTGTTGACAGTTGCTATGTCTCGTACATGAAAGATGTACGATGATGACACGGCCTGTGGGGCTCAGCTCAGGCGGGCTGGGGTTCCGGTGGTCTTATGCAGTGGGTGTTTCAGCAGCGGGTAGGTACCTGAACCGGGACTTTAGGTAGGCGGGCTGGTGCTATTATTAATTACAAACTTGAAGTTACTGCTGTCTACCTCTAAAGTACTTTACCCACCAGTGAGTTAGCAGTGCCAATTCCACATCTTCCGGCCAGCTCGACACCATTTTGGGCAATGTGTCGTTTATTATTAGAACAAGTCCTATATGTATATCTAGTTATATCTCACACAGGGCCAAAATTGGTAGGCGTAGCTTTTTCAATTTACTATTTTCAGCTTTACGACGCCGTTTTCATCATCGCCGGGGGAAACTCACGCAAGCCAGCCCAGAAATATATGAATTATTCATATTTCACACTATCACGGGCTTTCCGACGAACTGGTCATGGATAAAGCAGCCATGAGTCGTGGGGCTACTAGTGGATCTAAACATCGTCTTGTATCAATCATAGGCTCTACCATTGACAGTCTTGATTTCCATGATATGCTTTCTCGTCGAAGGCAGATTAGAATAGGTACATTGGGTGCAATTTATAAAACGTCACGGAACACCACCAGGCATAACATAGCTTGAAGCTCATGAAGAGGGAAAAAGAAAAGAAAAGAAAAGAGTAAGTATTCTGCTCTTTAACTACCCTCTGCCGCTTTCCAAATAATCGCCACATCTTTGATATATCATAGCTAGCATGGCTTTCAACATAGCGCATTTCTTAAGTTAGAGTGCATCGAATGATCATGTTCCTACCGGCTAGTATACTACGGTCTATCGGGATGGTGCATGGGAACGTCTGTTACGAGGATAACATTACATATATAATGATATCTATAACCTCGCACAGTCGATGGGTGACGAGAAATCGCAGTTGAGGATGGCCATCCACTCCATACTTAAAGGAAGAGCATGCCTGGTCCTTTGGGGGGGAAGTAAGATGAGAAATATTTGCCTCTTGAGACTTCACCTGCCATTCAGAAACTCGTATGTTTGGGTAGCTGAAATACACTAGTAGCTGCACGAAGTTGTTGAAACCCTTCGCGGACATCTATCTAACTATATACATGGATTTACTTGTGCCTTGTGCCTTGTAACACCTACGTTGGAAATTGCCAATATGGACATTTATAAATGCACTCTACCTTGTAGACTTAATCTCAACGTGTATACTAGGCAGCTTGTCATCGTCTCACGCGGAGGCTCTGTCTCAGTGGTATCAAATATTCGATGATTTTGGGTACGCATGTAAGCAGAGCGAGATAGTCATATGATGTATAGGGGCTCATATAGAATACCTACTACTTCGGTTCATACCTGTGCCTATCAGCTTACGTGTCGATGTAGCGATATCAGGCACTTTTCAAGATCCTACGCCATGGACCCAACTTTCATTATTCCTATCACCTTTTCAACTATGGCATGAGAAAGTATGTCCAGCTCTAGCATGTAGAAGTGGCAATAAGAAAGGCCAGCTAAATTAGTTAGCGACCGGTTATGTTCTTAGAATAGATTATGTATAAGACCACTTCGACAACATCTCCTTATACAAGTATAATTATTGCTACGTGACAGGCTCATGCATAGACCGGTGTAGAGTATAATAGAGTATGAAAGGCAGCCACGTCGCATTCAGGTATGCGCATGTCTTAACACTTAGATGCATACCCCTCCTGCAAAAGCCCGGTCGTTTCGTGGCAATGCGAGAAAGAAACCCGTAGAGCAGGGCTGTCTCATCCAAAGACGTGTAGTATAGTGTAACTGGGCGGTGCCGTCCGAAACATGAGCAAGACTCAGTGAGATTGTTCTAGTTTCTACGCCATATCTTCCTATTTCATCTGACTTATGATAAGAAGCAAACACCATAAAGTACGATGATTGATGAACTACCTAGTATATCGGCAACTGGAAGCCCGGGTACCATATTCTCCACATACCTCGAAGAATCACGGCGTACCAAGCAAACAGATGGCTATCTATCAGGTGAATATATGCATTCGAATCGATTCCATACATATCGGTGTTACGTGAAGCCCACCAATTGTATCCTAATGTCTCGAGCCATCTTTCTCACGTATATAAACACAGCCACCTCCTTGAGTTCTTAGTTGGGGTCTATAAGCGAACTTACCCCCTCATCAGCGCCAGCTCTCTCAACTTCTCCATCGCCTCAAGACAAAACAATAGCACCAAACCATCAGCTATCATTCACTAGCGAATCATAACACAATATGAGACCTGCCACTTCTCTCATCGCTGCATTGATCGGGTTTGCGCCCACTGTGAGCGCTGGTCCAGCGGCGTACGGTCTATGCCAGACTGGGTGCGCCGCCGTTGTGACGGCATGTTATGCGGCAGCGGGGTACACATGGGGAGCTACATTGGGCGCATCTGCCCCGGCAACCATCCTTGCGTGTAATACTGCGTTTGGAACATGTCAAGCTGCGTGTTGGGCCGCCGCTATCGCGCCAACTCCTTAAGGTCAGTGTGTGTAAGTGCGTATTATATTCTGCGATGAAAGTCAAATTAAATTGACCAGACTTACCGAATACTAAGCCAACTGATCATCAGAATATGATCTGACTTGATTCACGCAATGCAATGAATCGCGGTACGAAGTCTTACGCTGTCAGTGTGTTACTACATGGGACAGAGAGAGCTAGATCGTGTACAGCGTGAGGGTATTCAGAGCTATTAGGTATCACCGCGCAACAGCAAAAGTCTTATTGTAACCCCATAGTTGGTTTATGACACGGTTTCACATCTACAAGACACATGATGGAGCGAGTCCTGTCTTATGAACTCTCATCCACGACGCACTTTCATGTTGGTTCCACCGATTATGAAACCTCTGCATATTCTCACGCGAAAGTTTAGTTCGCCTTGGAACTCTATAAGTATGCCCCAATGATAACACAAATACACAATACATGCTTCGTTCCTCGCCTAGTGTAGCTGACCTCTCCTTTTTTGAAAATTATGAAATTTTGACTCCTAGTGCCTCGTAGATTGCACCTACGTACGCCTTGGCAGCGGTGTTCCCGATGAGAGTTGGCGACCTCAAATTCATAGCGTAAGTGATAGTGACTTTGCGGCCGACATCCATTATAGCCAGCGAGCCACCAGAACCACCCCAATAAGCGATGTCGCCTGCGGGCATCCAATCATCAATCCAGTCCCCTTCACCTTTAATGGCATAACCAATACCAAAACGGATCGGTTTTCCAATGGCGAGGTCTATACCCCGAGACTGTTCCTCGAAGATCAAGTCGACGGTCGACTTGGCCAACAGTTTCTTCTGATCAGAGGCGCTGCCAGCTAGCGTAATAGCGGAAAGCATTTTGTTCATCGCGTGAGCGTTGCTGTACCCGTTGGAAGCGCCAATCTCGCCTTGTCTCCACGCAGGGCGCTTGCCAACATCAGGCGGCATCATGGGGTTCGCGATAGCCTTCACGAACAAGGGACCAGGCTTGAAGTCGGCGGCAGCCCCTGACGAGGTCGGCACTTTGAGAGGGGCAATACGGGCGGCGTCTTTCTCCTTAATACCGAGCTGGAAATCGGCGTTCAGCGGCCCGGCAATCTTCTCAGCGATGAACTGCTTTAGCCCCATTCCCGTCACGCGGCGGACGATCTCGCTCAGGAGATGGCCGAAGTTCCAGGCATGATAGGCCGAGGCTGTGCCAGGCTCGAACCACGGCGCTTGAGAGGCGAGCTTTGCGGAGGAAGAGACGGGATCACAAATCTCATCCATCGTGACCTTGTCGTCCCAGCCAGCGACGCCAGAGGTATGTGACAGCAGGTGGCGAATCTCCACATTCTCTTTGCCGTTGGCGGCGAACTCGGGCCAGTACTTGGACACTTTGTCGTAGACCGAGACGGCACCGCTATCCACTAGCATGAGGACTGCGAGACTGCTGATGGTCTTTGAGCTCGAGGCCACGCCGACGATGGTGTCTTCGACCCAGGGCTGTTTGGTTTCTGCATCGGCGAGGCCGCCCCAGATATTCACGACATCTTCGCCATCGACGTTGACGGCTATGGAGGCCCCGACCTCTTCTCCCGAGTCAATGAACTGCTGCAAGAGAGAGCGTACCTTCTCGAACTGCGCAATGCAGTGCCCGTGTACTTCAGCCATGGCCGTAAGTGCTAAAGTATAAATATTAACAGACGTACTGCGACCGGAAACTTGGCGAGCTCGTTCTAGTGATTTGAAGGATGAAATTAAAAACTAGAGAACGACTTGGGAGCACCAGAAAACATGAGAGTCGAATCTCCGTTTTATAGGAGATGCCGAGATGTTGTGTTCTCGTTCATCTGAATATCTCGTTTAGGCGGGACGTCAATGGTTATTCTTAGTACATTACATACGAGGCCTAACTTGGTAGATCAACCACCCCAGTCGCGGGAGCTAGACCCAACTGGTACAATAGAACCCGGCCGGTGGGAGCTCTTGGTTGGATACTTCTCCCGCGGCGAGGTGCTAAGGTTCCTCTCCGGGGCCAAAGCGGGGCCGCAGTGGCTCCCGGCGCATGACTCATGCGGGTACTAGTACTGATTCTGCTGGCCGACCTGAGATAATACCTATGTACCTAAATGATGCTCTAAATATAGTACCGAATCCGAGCGACGTATTACGAATATAGGGTATTAAGCTGAATGGTTCTTGATGGATAAAACAAAAGGTAATAAGATAATCCGTAGTAAACACAACAAACGTTTAGCTTATCTGTTAAATTGGGCTTGCGCAGGTTTTCATCAGGAGATGAACAATTCTCAGATCTAAAAATCAATTAAAGGCGGGTCTCTTGTTTCTGCCCGGGATCGAACCGGGGATCTCATGTGATCTTAGATATATCCTTAGGAAGGACTATTATGTAAGACATGCGCCATAACCACTAGGCCACAGAAACTGATTATCGATAAGCGTGTTGGTACTAAATTGACTTTATCACAAGTAGATATCTTGTATTGTTACAAAGCAACTACATTTTATCCAGGTACTTTTAACAGTAAAAAAAATACAGTTATATTTTGTTAGAAAACTAGCAGGATAATAAAGGTTTTTTAATAATTTTTTTTATTTTTATATATAGCTTTAATTAACTTCCTGTATAGCCTACTGGATTAAAGAAGCTAAAGCGGTTGTACAGTGATGAGAAAGTGAGGATGCTATGGGCATGTGTTAAATGTGGACATTCTAGAGTCTCAAGTATTGGAAATGCAGATAGAACTTTCTAAGTGCCTGCCTATATATACCTGGTTTAATTAGGTCTGTTCTGAAATTTTATGAGAAACCAATCCGCTCACCGAAGTGTTTGCGTGGCCGGTACCTTTGTACACATGCCAAAGCCGCACCTTCCAGTTTCCTTCGCTACCCAGGTACAGCCCCCTCCCTTTAGCTCTTCGGAATCTCAGAATTAGCGACTGCATGAATACAGAGGAGATACCTGGATTTCTACCTTCCTGTGTCTGTCCTGCCGATCTGCTCCACTACTAGTCAGCGAGCCAGACAACTCGACAACCATTCGCCTACGTCTTGTCTCTCAGGTTATTTGCATCATAGCACCAAGATCTGGTCTTGGTACGGAAGTGGTATCCATTCTTCCTCGGGGATTTGGTTAACAGGTCGCAACGATGGCGAAGAAGTCCATTCCACGAGAGGCGGACTTTGAGTTCCGCAACGAAGTCATCGATAAGCTCCTCGACTCCGTCGACTGTGCCAAGCATCTGAAAGATTCATTTCGGCAGTTCCTTGGAAATATCACCACCGGTACCAATCACGAGGACCTGGCTTATCACCTCTTCTGCATTGTATGTGATATCCCACTCTTGATTATTACGTCGGCTGCATACTCGGGGACAGAGCTAATCTGTGCAGGTCACTCTATATCTATCCAAGAAGACTAATCTAGATGATGAGCAAATGTCTGCCATATGCCGAAGTACGCATTCGTTCTTTCTTCCCCTTTCATGTTTTAGAGGGCTCCGTTGTTGCTGAATACTCCCGAAGGTGCGAAAGCAGCACCCGACTTTTCACAGTCCTCACTAATCTTTTTTTCTTTTTCGGCTAGTCATCGAGCAGCTGAGACGAGAATGGGGTGGCAGTGATACCTCGGCAGTGAACTCTCCTGTGCCATTGTACACCGAGGATAAAGATGGATATTTCAGGAAGACTGGTTCACCCAGTGGTGTTGCTACTATGCCAGTCCCCGAAGCCGGAGGTGCAATGGTCTTCGCTGCTCAAAACGTTGCAAGTAGTGGCGCCGATGAAATTTGCGATACTCTCCATCAAATCAGTATTGGCCGCTCTGCCACTCCCGAAGGTTTCGTGCGAGGTGCTGACAATTGCATTATATCAACCCCAGACTTTCACAAAGGTATCATCTCAGACGACGAAACCGACTTGAAATCACACTATCCATTTGGATACAGAGTAATGGCTGGACAAGGGTGGTCGAGTCAAGATGGTCTTGGACCTAACGGGTTTGGCATTCAACGACCTCTTGATGCGATTACTTTAGCGAACATGCACGGAGACCATGAGTCTCCTATCGGGCTGGGATATGCATCCAAGGCTAACGATACAGCGTCCATGAATGGGAAGTCCGAACATAACAGTAAGGAGCAGGTGAAGGTGTCTGTTAATAAAGCAACAGCCTGGCATCAGTACGGAAAAGATCCTCGCGCCGGGGACGAGGTAGCCAAGTCAGGTTATAAATTCCGCACCGCCATTGACACATCCCGGACGAATATCACCCATACAGACAGGAAACAGAAAGAAGGTGGCCTGAAGGTCATCATCCAAGGCCAATGCGCAATCAACGACAAATGGAAAGATACTTCAAAGGACAAGGGAGTGTCTCAATCTCAAAGGAATATGTCGCAAGGCGCTTTTGAAAAGACAAAAAGCCCTCCTTCTGAGTATACTCATTTTTTTGTACCTTACAGCGGCCGCTCTCAGGGCTGGTAGTTTTTGAGTCGTGGTTTTAGTCTCTTGTAAATCCGCTGTAAGACAAGTCTCTGAAATGGTACGGACAATAATGAGGACTTTCTACTCAAATGATTTATGATAAAAGACAGAGATATGTGGTTCGACCTCGGAAGCTTGTGGTGGTAGGGAAAATGGGATTTGGGGTAACCAGATCCTTGTCATGATTACATCAAACTGAAGAAACATCTTGAAGGGTTGCAGAACACTGCACTTGGGCAACAAGTGAAATCTCTTGGTCACCAGTCACCGAATACGGGACGAAGATTGTCGGCCGACAGGCTGTAAGATTAGGGAAAGAAATTTCTAGTGAACGCACTCTCTAAAATAATAATGAACTATTTCGCAAGTTATTTTGACTTTTGTCTTACCTTTTGCCTGACTATGTAGGTTGACAAAGGTGCCGTTGCTAGCACTCGAAAGCACCTCTCAATTCCTGCATGTTGCTATGAGGGAATTGGGGAGCTGATCGAGTCGAGTAGGGCCATTAGTTGTTCGTCCAGGCTGACTATGACAAGATGAAAGATTATAAATCTATTTCTATTTGTTGTACGCTGTTCTATATGCAATTGCTAACGATATTACGTATATACTCTCTGGAGATTTCTCCGGTCTATAAATTAATCTAAGTAGTCGGTCACCCATCTATTCTCCCTGTCGGTCTACCTGGCCCCTGGCTTTCGCAGCCTCCTTTCTCCATCTGCCGCCGAAATGCCATTGTATTGCCAAGCCCAGAAAGGCCACAAGCTGAACGGCGACCGCGATAGTAAATGTCCAGCCTACGCCAACGGCGTCGATGATAGGTGTCACAATGCTAGTGCCACCCGCCGCGAGAAGACATCTCGCAAAGTTTACGCTCGCGCTTGAGGCGGCCTTCTGCTCCGGGAAGACGTCTATTAGATACGTCGTGATGATCGAGACGATCGAAACCGCTGTCCAGCCCGAGATGAAGGTTGTCACGATGGGTACGGCGATGTGGATACGATAACGGATGGTCCAGCCAAACGTGAGGATGGATGCGCACTGAAGCAGGGCAAGAATTGGGAGCATGCGGAAGCGTGCCGTCTCTAGCGGAAAGTCGACGTCCTCGTGTTGTGATTCTTTAGTTTCCGTGTCTGATGAGCTTTGGGATATTGTGCCCTCATGCTTGATTTTGATCTGCCTATAATGTCTATCCAGGATATTGCCGGTGATGAGCGTGCCGCTGATGGACCCTGCGCCGTTCGCGATGAACGTCAAACCGATCTGCGTCTCACTAAGGCCGTAAAGGTCAGCAAATAGCACGGATACCGCCGTGATGCTCATTTGCCATATTGCATAATATAAAGCAATGAAGGCGACTACCGGTGCCGCTTGCTTGCTGAAGAGTATGCGAATTGGCCCGGTGATATCGATACCCGCCTTCTTGGTAGTCTCTACGGGCTGCGCTTGCGGGCGGAATTTTGTCTTGGTCGTTCTCTGGTACAAGGCCAAGGGAAATCGCGCGACCGGGTTCGACGTGTGTACGCTTCCATTCCCCACGGCCGACCGCAGAGTTTCCGGTAAAGAGACGACCAAAACCACGAGAAACACGCCCGCGTAGATGGTTAAAAACCAAAAGACGGACCGCCATCCTAGAGAAGCGGCCAAAGCTCCGCCAATAACGGGGCCTACCGCTACCGGAGCGAGTAGACCTCCTTGGAATACACCCATATACCCGCCGCGCTCTTCACGGGTGGTAATGTCGCCGATGACTGCTGAACCGACGGCAACGGTGCTGGCACTCCCGGAGCTCTGCAGACTCCGCAGCACGATGAGGGCAGCATAGTTGGGCGTCTCGGCCAGCCCTACACATGCCCCTATGTAGACCAAGAAAGTACAGAAATACGTTATCCGACGTCCCTTGGCATCCGAGAGCGGACCCCAGACGCTGGGAGCGAGGCCTTGGAAGATGAGATACGAGGTTATGGTCAGATTGACGAGTTCGACGGAAACGCCCAGGTCCTCAGAAATGACGGAAAGTGAAGGGAAGTAGATGTTGGATGAGAAGCCAGAAACTAGCCATGGTTGATTAGCGATCGCCTGTGCCTGGGTGTACTTAGAGAATTGGCATCACTTACACGTAGCAGCGGTGGCGGCGAGAAAAGTGATCAAGGCTTTCTGGCGCTTGTCAAAAATGCTATATGGTTCCGGGACATGGGGAGCAGCATGGTCAAGACGGGCAGCATGCGCATCGTTTTCTACGAGCATTGCGAAGCGGGTTAGGGGAGGGCTAGGGGGGATTTAGGGGGTGGTTCTTTCGAGAAGCAGCAATTGACTGCCTTTTAGCCCAACAAAGCCGTTGAAGCCATGATGCAAACTAAATAAAAAACGAGGGAATGCCTTACCTATTGCTTAATAGCTTGCATAATAGCTTGCATAATAGCCTGCCTATCTTTGCTTATATAAATTATGGGGAGTAGTATCCTTATTTTATTTATTTCATTTTATTCCCTTCTATTTTCATTTTTCCTTTTAGGTTTGACGCGGATCTCGGATCTGAGTGCAATGGCGGCTGCTGCTGTTATTGGCTGCATGCCCGTACATATACGACCGATAAGGTAATAGCCCACAGTTGACTCCACTGCGAGTCGGTTCAAGCATCGGCTGCAGACTGCCGAATCGCGGAGCCGGAGCGACAACCTTGGAAGCTCTTGACAAATTTCTTCAGCCAAGACTGTTATTTATATTGCTTACGCTACTGCATACTTAATACATGTAAATATGTACAGCACACTACCTACTACTTAGTAAGTAGGCATCTTCAGAACCCGCGACTCGTGTTTCGATAGCGCACGCACCAAAACACCAAAGAGAGAGCCCCGGGGGAAAAAAAAGAAACAAAAAAGCTATGGGCGACGCAGGGTTATCCTCCGTGTCATGAAGCCGGCGCGCTATTCCATC